TACGCCTCGTAGACTTTCGCTAAAGTGTGAAAAGATGGGAGACCTAGATATCGATTCCAAGCGCCCTAGTTGCCTCGATGTCGATATATAGAAGCGCGACATTAAATTTATTCGAATACTCTTGATCATGAATCGATATAAAAGCACTATCCAAGGTAATTCAATAGAATGAATTTATGCCTTACCTGAGTAAAGAAATATATAATGAAAAGTGGTACAATCGCTATTTATAAATGTCGGTGTAGATACGCTGACAACGACAATAACCATAAGAGCACTAACAGACATGGAAAGAAAGCCGCTAAACATGGTGGGTACAACTTCATCGATTCCGTTAATATCATGCGAGAAACGATAAATAATTCTACCAATGGGCGTAGAATCGAAGAAGGATATAGGTGCATTCACCACACTATGAACTAGATTAAAATGAAAATCGTCGGATGCTTTGATTCGGGCTAAAATGCTATAACGATAGCGTTCACTCCCAAAACTACAATTTGAATGGCTGCAATAAGTCCATAAATTCCGAGATAATACTCATCGCTTTGTGTTGCATTGGTATTATTTAGGTTGGAAGTCCATGTAACTGACCAAAAGCTAGACACTGCATAACATGCTTGGCCAGCAATCTCAAATAATACGATACTAATGCCTAAAAAGAATCCGATCGATTTCATATATAGCAAGTATACCGACATTTTTACCTAAGTGTTATTGGAAATGAAGAACATAACCTACAGGTTAATCATACTTGTTGGATAATTCTCCTCTCAATTAAATGATTACAAGAAATTATTTTGTTAATTGATTTTTACCTGTCCTAACATTGCTTCTTCATTACTAGCAATTTTCTTTTTCTTAATTTCCCGTTTCAATTGTTTCTTAAAGGAGTCCTTAGACTTTGACTTTATTCGAATAACTCCTGTCCGATTTTTCGGATTAGGTACTGGCGATGATACTGTAGAAATGGCGCTTACTTGACGATTAAGTTTGATATTTTCTTGATTATCGTCATTGTCTTAGTCTAATTCTTTTTCTTACATGGAATGCGGACATAAGATCAGTGATACTCATTTGAAAATGAAATATTTCCTCGATACAATTCACTTATATACAGATATTGATCAACGAGCTATAAATACATATTACCATATTTATTTGGAGTTTCATCAGTTTTTGTAAATGTTTGTAATACTTCAGAAAAAGCTCCACCATCTGCAGTCAACGTTTTATACGTGCCCCTCTAATGAAGAAGTAGTGGCTTAAATATTGCAATAGCTATCCAATCACAAAGGTAGTAGAAACTAATTTCGCAAACCTCAACTATTAAACCTTTATTCATGACATAGATTTGATCCATTTGGGGAAGAAAGCTTAAGTTATGAGTTACTAATACGCGTGTCTAATTAGAAAATGAACATTTATCCATTTTGTAGTACAGTTAGCTTGTAACGCTTTGAGAAAGAACTCTTATTAGAAACACTTAGTTCTATTCTTGCATTAAGTCAGGTACCTTGTGCCTTAATGTTCCGTTTAGCCCATTGCAGATAAAGACTAAATTTCCATTTTACCTTTTAGTAATACTAAGGTTCAATAGAACTAGTTTGTCAACTTTCACACACACAATATTTCTAGTACTCTAGAAAAGCACTCTACCCGCTCGTACTTAACTTACTTATAAAAGTGCTAGTACGTGAGATCTTCAAAGACTGATGACTTACTTAGTATCATTTAAGTATAGCATTTAAGTTAAGTATGATCAACGATGTCCTTAGCTAATGCTTACTCACCGTGCTGTTTCATCAATTTTAAATTTTTTTTTCTAGCTAAGGACAAAGTACAGATCCATAAACAATTATGTTAGTACCAATGGAGCAAGCAAAGCTAACAATCACAGTGATCAGTAGCGTTACTTAATGATAATCGCGAATTCAAATTAGCTGGTTATAAATAATACTACTACTAAGATTGACCTGTATTATTACTTCTACATACATCATCCGGTACGATACAGTAAGTTACCAAATCTAGTTAATAGCCAACGGTACCCTAAGGTGCCAGCAATATGGAGATTTAGAGTCTGCTTGGAATGCTTGAATAACTTATGATTAGTATTGAAAAGATGTCATAGTAAATTGCCGCCATCAATATGTTCATTAATGAATATATGTCACATATATACTGATGCAATTACAAAGAGATTAATAACGGTACTTAATCGCTCAGTTTTATCCTCTTTGTTTAAGTAAGGTAGCAGAATAGGCTACTGTCATATACAAACGATATAGCATAGCTTGATCAAAATCTGTCTAGTTTTCTTTGATCATATTGAATTACACTGTAATCGAAATATCTTACAACTTTTCTATCTAATCTAGTCTAATTTTCACAACATTATTGGTTCGGGCAGCTAGAGTTTATGAAAGCAGTTAATTACAGAATTTAAGAATGGCAGAACAATATTTAATTGAATTAAGAAATTAATCTATAAAATATCATAAAAGAAAGTTATCTTCAGAAGACAATTAGTTATAAATACTGTAATGTATCAATTTAGTTCATCCCTTTATAAATATTGGCGGAAATGAATGGGTAATCTTTCAACAAGAAAACGTATGTAGGAATGCATTTACATTAATTTATGTATGACGTTATGCATACTTAAATAGATAACTTCATAATTTTATAATAAATTCTACGAAAGTACTGGTAAGCACTGTTTCTGTCGATTTACTACATATTGAATAATTCTTCAATAAAGTTTGGGTTTAGTTACGTACAAGAGACTAGTATTTTGTGTTCCTGTTTTTCCCGATAATAGGAATTCATCCGTATTTAGAGTCTTACTGTAGCAAGATGTCAGGATAATAAGAAATACCCTGATCTGTCTTGTTCTATTTAAATGTATTAAAGAAGGGCTAAACATATTAGCGAATGTTGTGTTGCGGTACCAAAAATCTGGCATTAATATTATGCCAACATTTAATCTTAAGGCACCAATCAATGCATACCAAAAATTAATTAATCGTACTGAAAATGGAAGGGGATAATAGTAAAATTTCTTTGTAAATTAATTCCTGATTGCAGATTGAAAAATTAACGTCAATAACTGGCAATGGTAGAGTTAAAAATTTCTAGATCTAAGTTTATATTTCATACACTATTAGTATACTGGATAGATGACGTGAAAATAACACACCTGAGATTTAGTTGTCATCTGTACTCTAGCATAGAGTCTATACCACTACAGCCTATAGTTATGGCTACCAAATATCTCTTAGGATAAATATAGAAGCTACGCTACCTTACATTATACTAAACATGGCTAACAGTCTACAATCACAATACTAAGCTACATTACAATGATATAGGTAAGTAGAAATGGCATGCTTTCCTAATGAATAGCCTAGCTATATTACTACAATCCTGTCAAAGCATTGTATCTTAAATATTTAATTTCTGCTCCCTTCTTGCCTAACAGTATGAAAGATTTACAGCATCAAAGTAACGACATTTAACATTAGAACATGCCACTTCGTTTCACTCATAACGACTTAAGAATGTCATCCTACGAATAGAGATTGCAAATGATCAAGTTCACGCTTGTCAAATCATAAAGTTACTTCTGTCCTTTCAGTAACCTAGTATTTGTAAATAAAATTGTAACCAAGTGCATTAGTATTACCCAAAGACCATCTAATTAAGACTGTAATCTTCACAAAATTCTCTTGTAATTGTTTTTATCCAGATAAATAAATCTAGAACAAATCTTACCGTTATAATCTATGGCCCATCTGTATCCTTGACCTTTCTCACACATATTATTGTCTTATGAATGAAATGTAATTTCTTCCATGTAAATGGGAATGTTTTATTATCATCATCTCGCTTTTCTACTAAATCTATCAAAATCTTNAATCATATAAATCAAATTTGACCAAAAATGGAATGTACTTTAATTATTGCAAGTAACTTTTCCCAAATACTTTTAGCGCTCAAGTTATGTGCCGAACCTATTAAAATTACAGTTAAAAGCGAAAGTCTATTTAGGTAAACTCCATCTTGCATCACAGCCGTCTAATTACTCTGTCTTCGTTTTTAAACAAGTATTTTCGTTTCACTTGCACGTAGTAGAATGGATATAACAGGAGAATAGTATTGTAATGAGTCAATTATTACTAAAGAGAAAATCTCCTTATTCGGTGTTTTACACATCTATATTTGCTATCCAGCTCAATTTAAATTTTATTCTAAAATTAAAAATAAACAAGACAATGAAAAGGATAGAGTTTAATTGCCTTCTACTCGTGCCACAAGTAGCCTCTAATATTTAACTAGAATGTGTTGATTAGATGTAGTGCGAAGCTTTTCTATGTTAGCTTGTGAAAGCAAGTCGTTTGTCATTATAGTTTAAATTTTCATCTACTAGTAATAAATAAAAGATAGTCTTTCATCATTGTAGATTAAAACTCTATCGTTAAGAGTGTAGTCTAATTTTGCACATTAATTATTAAAGTTTCAGTCTATTCCATACCTAGTTCACAGTTATGATTACTAAAAATATCATGGGACACGTTAAAATTGTTTCTATTCTATATTAATTCTGTTCCTTTTATTTTCATGACGTTAGCATTAATCTCTATAAAAACTCTCAAACACTTAAAATGCTTTCTCGCCATTCCTAGTGATCTCACTAGGATACAAAGTCCGCTACTAACCGACAGTAAAATTCAAATCAATATTGTTCATTTTGGCTACGCATTATGTGGCCGTACAGCACAAGGTTTCGGCTTCAATCGTATCCTGAAAATTCATCAAGACTTTTAGTTATTATATGGAATCCTGCAGCGTACAAACTAACGTACTCAAGAAAGACGTGTTTGTAGTATCACCAATCCAGTTTATACCTAATGTATCTCATGTTTCCTTCTAGACATTGAGTATTAACTAATTTTAATGTTGTACCCCACCTGTAGGATACAATTATTCTACTTTCCGTCATCCATTTGCATCATCATAAATCGATTTGACATTAGTATTCCTCTCATGTTGTCCTATACACAGATCAATCTTCCTTAATGCTGTAGGATAAAACAGATTTATTTCACATATTGTTTACACCATGGTAAATTCATTGGGTACTGAATAGATTACTGTATTCGCTTCGTATTAGACACAGATTAGTGCATTGAAAAGTGTGCTGTGTACTGATCAATCTTATTTTCTTAATGCTTGAAGGGCAAAAGGAATAGTGTATCACGGTAACATTTTTGAATTTTGCATACGCGTATATCATTCAGTAACGATTTATTTTTTAGGGTAAAATCATGAACTACAGTATATTAATAGACTGTCCTCGCAAAACTGTGCTGCGATCGGCCAAGTTTTACCCGCTATTTGCCCTCATTTAGTTAACTGTCAAAG